GACTATCTAGTTTTAAGGGCTGGTGTGATTGGATTGGATCTGCCTGGATAATCTAAGATAATCTCTGAATCGCAAATCCTTAATTTAATCATACCTGTAAAATTCCTTTGCCTCATAAGATAGCACCTTCATTTCCTCCAGGACTTAAAAATGGCCATTTCTTTCTTTGGGAGGCCATTTTGTGCCAGCACATAGAACAGGTGCTGCTCTGAGCAGACAGGGATGAGTGAGAAAGTCTTGTCCTCTGAGGCCAGATTGAAAAGCAAGGGCCACTTGTGAGAGGTCTCATAGACTTTCTCTAGAAATTTGAACTTGAAATTATAAGGAGCCATATGCTCATTCAATAAATTTTTGTTGAACATATACTTTGTGCCAGACCCTTTGTAGGCTTTATGAATATGGAAGTTTAAAAACTAAAGTAGGACTGGAGAGATGGCTCAGCAGTTAAGAGAGTATACTGCAACCTGGTGTTGTGGCACATGCCTTTAACCCCAGCACTCAGAGGCAGAGGCAGGTGGATCTCTGTGAGTTCAACACCAGCCTGGTCTATGTAGAGAGTTCCAGACCAGCTGAGGCTATAGGGCGACTTTGTCTCAGAAAGACCAAAAAAGAGAAAAAGTGTACTGCTCTTGCAGATGATCTGAGTTCAGTTCCTAGCACCCATGTAAGTCAACTCACAACTGTTCCTAGGAGATCTGGTGTCCAAAGACACCTGTACTCATGTGTGTATACCCACAAATAGACATGCGCATATATACACAATTTATAAATTTATTTGTCTTTTTTTTTTTTTTTTTTTTTTTGAGACAGGGTCTCCCTGTAGCCCCAGCTGGCCTGGAACTCTGTGTAGATTGTAGATCAGCTCACCTCGAACTCACAGGGATCCACCTGCCTCTGCCTCCCAAGTGCTGGGATTAAAGCCGTGCACCAACCTGCCGGGCATAATTTATAAATTAAAAAAAAAAAAAGTGAAGAAAAATCAGGGCTGCAGAGATGGCTCAGTGGTCAAGAGCACATTTTGATCTTGCAGAAGACCAAGTATCCAAGTAGCCACCTTGGGTGACTCACAACTCCAACTCCAGAAGATCTGATGCTCTCTTCTGGTCTCCATGAGCACTGCATTTATCTGCACTGCCCCCCACCCCATGCCTATGCATAATCAAAAATAAAAATAAAAATAAAATCTTTTTTTTGGTCTTTTTGAGATAGGGTCTCCCTGTAGCCCCAGCCGTCCTGGAACTCACTGTGTAGACCAGGCTGGCCTTGAACTCACAGAGATCCGCCTGCCTCTGCAGATGATAAAAATCTATTTTTTAAAAAAAAAGAAAAATCAAGCCAGAACCAGGCATGTTTATAATCCTAGCACTGAGGAGATTGAGGCAGGAGGATCAAGATTTCAAGGTTAGTCTTTACTGCATGAGATCTTGTCTTAAAAAAAACAAAACAGGGCCAGGAGTGGTGGTACACACCTTTAATCCCAGCACTTGGGAAGCAGAAGCAGGTGGATCTTTGTGAGTTTGAGACCAGCCTGGTCTACATAGTGAGTTCCAGGACAGCTGGGGCTACAAGGAGACCCTGTTTCAAAAAAGGACAAAAAAGACAAAACAAAACCAAAAACAAAGGAAGCTGGGCATGGTGGCACATGCTTTTAATCCCAGAGTTTGGGAGGCAGAGGCAGGTACATCTCTGTGAGTTCAAGGCCAGCTTGGTCTACCTACTGAGTTAAAAACAACAACAACAAAACAAAAAGCAAAACAAAATGTACTAGGATCAAAAAATTCAGAGTTCACATGCTAGTTGATTTTAAGTAAAGGATACAGATGTTTGTGCTAGAGAAAAGATCGTGGAGTCTGAATAAAACTAAAGATAAGTCTCTTTACTACTTCAAGATTTGTAACCTCGGACCAACAAGATGGCTCAGTGAAGATGCTTCACCAAGCCTGACAATCTAATTCAGTCCCTAAGACCCACATTATAGGGGAGAGCTGACTCCCACAACTTGTTGGACCTCCATATAGGCACAATGACACACTCCTCTGACCTTCATATAGGCACAATGATACCTGCTTTCTCCTCCTAAATAAGTAAATGTAATAAAAATTATTTTGAACTGAGGGTGGTGTTACAAGCCTTTTAATCCCAGCACTAGGGAGGCAGATGGAAGGCAGATCTTTGTTAGTTGGAGGCCAGTTTGATTTACATAGTAAGTTCTAGACCATCCAGCATTACATAGCCTGTATTAAAAAAAAAAATTCATAGCCCTTTCTCACATCATATTAGAATATCCAGTGCTAGCTGTGGCCTCAACTCAGCTAATCCCGTTCTCTGTAAATAGCTACTGCTGTCATCCCTAGCCTTTTCTTGGTGCCAGGGATCAAACCAGGGTCTATGCATACTGAACTTATACCCCCACCTCCTTGTTTTATTTTAAGGCCGTTTTAGAAGCTTAACCATTTTCCTTAAATCTTCAATGGTGTCTTGATTCCTTTTTCTCTTGCTAAGAGGCTATCAAGTGGCAACCATTTCTCTCAGAGTAGTTTCTGGATTTACCAACGTACAATGTGTCTACTTATAAATCTCCCCAGTCAAAGACTCCCAGGCATCCCCATCCCATGTACTTCAATCCCACCTCCTTTCGGAAGTGTTCATCCTCTTCCTCTTTCTCATTGGTCTTACCTCTCAGCATATGAACATGTTTCTTTTTCATCTTAAAATAGAAGAAAAGCAAGATAGGTGTGGTGGGTTCACAACTATAGTCCCAGCACTCAGGAGACAGAGGCAAGAGGATCATGAGTTTGAAGTCAGCCTGAGCTACATAGTGAGTTCAAGGCTAGCCTGAGCTTCATGTGAAACTGTGTCAAATAATTATAATAATGCCCCTCTTGATCCTGCATTCTCCTGTCTACCTCCTTGTATTTTTTCTCTTTAGATATCAAGCTTCCAGGTGTGTCATTTAGTCTTCAAGCCACTAGAACCTGGCCTAACACTCAGGCTTCCCCTCCTAGTGTCTCACCCAGGGTTGTCCACAATTAAGGTTTCTTTCCATTTGCCCAGATTTCATATTCAATGAGAACAAAACAATATTCCAAAAACATCCTTCTGAGCCTGGCTTGGTGGTGTCCTCCCTAATCCCAGCACTCACAAGGCAGATGCAGGCAGAGGCCAGCCTGGTCTACAAAGGGAGTTCCAAGCCAGATGGGGCTACAGGGCAGCCCTGTCTCAAGACAAACTAACTAGCTAAGTAACACCTTCAGAATTATGAACTCACTTTTATTGTTGTTTCTTGTTGAGACAAGATTTCTTCACGAACCTGAGGCTGGTTCACCTGCCTTGCCAGCCTGGCCTGCCTCACTGGTTCACCTGCCTCAGGACTGCAGGTACACACTACCACTCAGCTGTGAACTCATGTCTTAAATTATTTTCTCCTCAGAGGACCCCTTCTAGTTGTTGAAATCCTCTTCCTAATTCTCCTTTTGAGTTCCTACTCCACTACTTCCAACCTAGGAAGACCTTTAGCTATTGTCTCCTGGAAAACTGCTCAGGTTTATCACAGAGTTTCATATTAATAAAAAAAAAATTGCTGGGCACGGTGGGGCATGCCTTGAGTCCCAGCACTCAGAGGCAGGCAGAGCTCTGTGAGTTCAAGGCCAGCCTGATCAACATAGTGAGTTCCAGGCCAGCTGGGGCTACAAGAAGACCAAATAAATAAAATAAATAAATATAAATAAATAAAATCTCCAGTTTGTGTGTGCGCGCGCGTGTGTGTGTGTGTGTGTGTGTGTGTGTGTGTGTGTGTGTGTATTTTTTGAGACAAGGTCTCCCAGCTGACCTGGAACTCCCTATGTGACCCAGACTAGCCTAGATCTTGACTGCCAGTCTCTGCCTCCCTTGTGCTAGGATTAAAAGCATGCACCTCAGGGCTGGAGAGATGGCTCAGTGGTTAAGAACACTGGTTATTCTTGCAGAAGATCCGGGTTCGAATCCCAGCACCCACATGGCAGGTAACAACTGTCCCTAACTCCAGTCCGGATACCGCTAGCCTCTTGTGGATAGCCTCTTCTGACAGGCAAGGGCATTGCATGATACGGTGCACTCACTTACCTACGTGAAGGCAATACACTCATACACATTAAAATAAAATTTAAAAAGTAAAAATTTAAAAGCACGCACCTCACCACACCCGGTTTGGACTTTGACATGGTAACTAGCATCATAAATACTTCTTGAGGCAAGGCAAGGGAAGTTTCCATGGGAGCCGAAGCCTTCTGAGCCGAATCTGGGTGACTGAGAACCCCAGCACCTAAAGGGGTACCGAGGAGGAAGACTGAAAACAGGGGCTGATCTTCACAACGGGACTGGTAAGAAAAAAGAAAGGAAGGCAGGGAACAGAGAACAAGATGCATGTTTGAGGAAAAGGTAGTTTGAGATCCGAGACTCTAGTTTTCATGCAAGCCAAATGCAAATGTGGACCTGGCCAGTACTGGGTGGAGCCTTTAGGAAAATGCTTGACACCTGAGCTCAAAGAAAGGTAGAGAAAATAATAAATACAATGTATCGAAGTTTTTTTGGTATCTTAATTGGGCAGAAGGGTCCTTTGCTTCCCTTTCCCCCTCAGGTTGGGAGAGCCCCTTGGGCAAACCGGAGAAAAAAGTGCCAAGTGTGGAGACAGTCTCCCCTCCAGCACCTCCACCCTCACGGTGGCAGTTCTTTCGGGCACCACTAGCATAATTATGAGGGCCATTCCTGGAGGCGATAACTGAACGTGCACCCCCTGACCCTCCCAATGAGTGATCTGGCCTGCTTTCACCTGATCCCAAGCCAGGTTCCAGCTAGAAAGTAACGACCATCTGCAAAAACCCTCGCCCAAGCGGGAAGCAGGAATGCAGGCGCTGGGGTCCGCCCGGGACGCCGGCGCCGCGCCCCCGCGCACCGTGCGGGGGCGGAGGGAGGGAGGGAGCCCCGGTTCCCGCCGCCCCGCCCTCCGGATCGGGCCGCTTGGGGATTCGGCGTGGCGGCTGCAGCCGGTGGCCTGGGCCGCCCGTCCTGGCTGGTTCCGGAGCCTCGCGCCGTGCTGTGCGCCGGCTGTCCGGGAGATGGCTTCTCCCTTCTCGCCGGCTGCTCGTGCTATTGTCTCACCCGGGGCTGTCTAACCGCGAGCTCGCCCAAGCTCCGCCCGGAGCGCATCGGCCCCAGACAGGCTCCTGCACCGGGGGACCCCGCAGCCCGTGCACGGCTGGACGGGCGCTGAGCGGCCCGGAGCCGCAGGAAGAGCCGAGGCGGTGCGGAGCCCAGGTCGGCTGGACAGACAGTCGCAGGTAGGACGCGCACGCGGCGAGAAGCACCACCCCGGGGCTGCGGGGCGCCCGGACTAGGGGCCGCGAGGGCAGCCAGTGCGGCCAGCGCTCGGCTCCCGCCCTAGCGCAGCAGCGCGAGGGGCAACAATGCAGCGCCGCGACGGCGCCCGGGAGCCCAGCCCTGCCGGGACCAGCAGGTTGCTTGTTCCCACCCCACCGGCGCCTGAGGCCGGCATCCCGAGGCCGGCACGCCGCCGCCTCCGGGAACACACTTCCTGGCTGCAGCTTCAGCTGCAGGGAGATCTGAGCCAGCCCACCGCTTTGGGGCTTGTCTGTGTATTAGTTTAAGAGGAAAAAATAAAAAGCAAAACCTGTCCCGCAGTGGGGGTGATGGGAGTGGAACCTTCCCGTGCAGCGGGTTAGAGAAGTCAGGGGACTATATACATTTTTTTTTTTTTTTTTAAGCCAAGCGGACGGTAGGATTGGCCTTATAAGGATACCGCAGCAAAAGACTGAATTCTTGCAGAAGGAACTGGGACCCTCAGGCCCGAGTTCACGGCCCCTCTGGGAAGGTGCTCCTCCTCTGGGCTGTACTTGTCGCTCATTTTTCAGCTCCAGACCTCAGTGGTTTTGGTATTGGGGAGTGACAGCAGCAGAAGCCCTGGCAAGGCTGCAGAGCTGGGATGGGGTGGGAAGCCCTGGCAGGCCTCCTGGGCTGTGGAAAGCGGTTACCAAATGTATGAGGTTAGTGTATACACCCTATTTGCCTGAGGTTGGAGTGAGTGTGGAATATGCCATCGCTCTTGCTCCTTCAAGCTAACCTTCAGGCCCTACACCTCAACTCAGTTTTAGGATCTTTGTGGCTTCCCTGCCCCATCCCAGTCAGGCTTGGGATGAAGTCCTATTGTCTTTGGCTGCCCTCGTATTTTTCTTCAACTTGGAGAGTTCTGTGCCTTGGGCTGATAGGTCCCAGCAGGCCCCACAGGTTCTCTAGCGTATAGCTACCTGGGCCCCTCCTTTTCTCTAAACAACCTGCTTGTCCCGGATATGGTGAATCGTAAGCAATCTGCACTAAACCCTAGCCCCCAAACAGTCTTGAATAAAAACTTACTCCATTGCTTCTCTTTGGCCTTGGAAAGATAGTCAAAGGAGAAATGGCCCAGGAGTGGGAACGCTGACCCCACTCACATATTCTTCCTGTCTCCAGCTGCAGCTGCACATCCTAGCACACAGAGGCCTTAGGAACCAAAACTCCTCCAGAGCCTGGCAGTCCCATTTGGGGCTTCAGCCATGGAAAAATTAAGTCCAGGCACATTTTATAGCCCGGCCTGGCAGCCGGCATCTGAAAAGACAGTGGCTTTGAGCCAGAATCCTAGACCCAAGGCTGCTGCTGCTTCTTTGGCTTTTAGGTGATCCTAAGGTTTGATTTTGTGGCTCAGTGCTTATTGCTAAGGGCATGGGTGTGTGTGTCTGAATCTGATCAGTCAGGCAGCCTGTTAATCTTTCTCTCCACTGGAAACACAGGTGAGGGAGGGTCAGTTTATCTGGGTACTGGGGATTTTTCTGAGGTGCCCTTTTGGATGGTTGCCTGTGTTTTTGCCATGATCCAATTGTGCTCTTACAGACACTCCACGCCCTTATGGGCCTTTGGGTCCTTTTGTGGTGCTCCATCCCAGCACTTTACAGGTGTCTCATGGCTGTAGGGGCCTGCAGAGAGAAAAATGAGTCTGTTTCTTAGAGGGGTTATAATTAACCATAAACTTCAAGCACCTCCTACTTCCAGGATGTGAATTTGGACACCAAAAAGAGGAGTGGTCTGGAAAACCTTCATGAGGCCCAGTTTTGAGTCTGGTGAGACTTACTTCCTAATGTGTGAACAGGGCAATTTGTGAACTTGATTTCATTTGCATATTTGCAAAATGGGAGGAAAAATATCTGTGGCTCATAAGATTGTTTTAAACTTTGTTAAAATTTAAAAATTAAATTTATTTTTAGTTTATGTATGTTTTGCTTGCATGTATGTAAGAGTGCCATGTGCATGCAGTGTCCGCGGAAGTCAGAAGAGGGCATGGAATCCAATGGAACTGGAGTTAGGATGGTTGTTAGCCTCCATATGGGCGCTGGGAACTGAATCCCAGTCCTCTGCAAGTGCTGTCTGTGCTCTTAACCACTGAACTATCTCTCCAGCTCCCTTATAATTTTTTTTTTATCTTTTTGAGACAGGGTCTCCCTGTAGCCCCAGCTGTCCTGGAACTCACTATGTAGACCAGGCTGGCCTCGAACTCACAGAGATCCGCCTGCCTCTGCCTCCTCTGAATGCTGGGACTAAAGGCATGCGCCACCACACCGCCACCACACCCGGTATGTGTTCCTTCTTAAATAGGGTTGACTGATAGGAGCTGAGAGAGAAAAATAACATAATAATTGTAGAGGATTAGAGAGAAACACTTTCCAAAGGCTGCCTGCTGCCTGTAGACAGGTTAATGCTGACCCTGCAAATAATATAATAGCGAACACTTACTGATGTCAGCCTGCTAGGACATGACAGAGGTGGGATTTGAAGCAGGCAACCTCATACCCTGTGCTCTACCCTGCATACCCTATTCTCAGAGCTCTGTACCACTAGCAGAAAGAGAACAGAAAGGGGGGCAGCAGAAATGTGGGATCCACTTGTTATAGATTCCTTGAATGCCCAAGACATGGCACCAGACCAGAACCTATGTTAGATAATAAACTTCTCAATAACAGGGCCCAGGAAGATGCACTTCCTGTTCCAGCTCCAGTACAGCTGAGTGCCTCCTTAATTCCAGTTGTTAGGGAATGGTAGCAAATATGTGAGAATTCTCAGGCTCCTACCTTCCTTGCTTGCTTTCCTTGTGTTGTCACTGAATCTCTCTCTACCTTTTGTTCAAGAATTGGAATAACCAAATCAAGTCTTTTGTTTTCCCTAGATCAAGACATTTTGCCAACTTATGAACCATGCGGGTAGTAGATTTGGGTTTAGTGTGCTCTAGGAAAATTAAGGCAGCTTTCTTGGTTTTGTTTGTTTGCTTTTGTTTTTCTAAGAGTGGTTTCACCATGTAGCCCTGCCTTGCCGGGAACTCTTTGTAAACCAGGCTGGCCTCGAACTCAGAGATCTGCCTGCCTCTACTTCTCAAGAGTTGGGATTAAAGGTATGTACTACCATGCCCTGCCCAGCATTCTCGTTTTATTTTATTTATTATTTTTAGTTAGTGTGTATGAGTGTAATGCCTGCATGTGTGTAAGTGCACCCGTGTTGTGCCATGCCTTCCGAGGTCAGAAGAAGGTGTCAGATCCCCTGAAACTGGAGTTACAGATGGTTGTTAGCCACCATGTGGGTGCTGGGAGTCAAACCAGGGTCCTCTGCAAGAGCAGCCAGTGCTCTTAACTGCTAAACCATCTCTGTAGCCTTCCGCTTTCTTGTTTTAATATGTTCATATTGGCTTGGTTTGGTATGTGTGTGTGTGTGTATGTGTGTTGTATGTATGTTCATGTGTCTAAGTGTGGATACACGTGTGCCTGGCATACATGTGGAAGTCAGAGGACACCACTTTCCATTTCCCAACACAACTGCATCCAGCTTTTGTGTGGGTTCCAGGGATCCAAACTCAGGTCTCAGGATTGCATGGCACGTACTCCCCAGCCCCTGGTATCTATCTTGTAAAACAAACGTGAAAGATGATTCTTATATTTCCTGTGATCATATAAAGTTAGAACTGAGAAGGACCTTGGAGATAACCTCCTTGAGAAGTGGCTTCAGGGTCACAGGTTTGTTGGCTGCCTGGGAACTTGATGTTGGCTCCACAGATGAGGAGAGTATCTACCCTTCCTCTGTTTCAGCCCTTGAGCCAACACTGTCACTGAATTCCTTGTTGGGAAATTCCCCTCCAGAGCCCAGGAAATAGAATTCACTCACTTCTGAAATCTCCCCTGGTTAAGGAGACTAAGAACTCCTGCCATGTATTCCTTCCTCCCCTGAGAGCTCCCCGTAGGAAGCCTCACACAGGATCGAATTTCAAAGTGAAGTCAAAGATCATTTGCCACTTTGGAAATATGTCCTTTCACTATAACTGTACCATTCCTGCTACTCCCTATACCGCCTTCAAAACTCCATTTTCCCTTCTTTTCCTGCCTTCCTTCCACCCTACCCAATCCCAGCCATAGACACTATCCTTACAGATTACATTTTTATTGTCTTTGATTTTTAGTTTTTTGAGACAGGGTCTCTATAGGCTGAGCTGGCCTTGAACTCCCTGTTAGCCCAGGCTGGCCTCAAACAGGCATTTTTCCTGCCTTACCCTCCCAGATGTTGAGATTACAGACTTGAGCCAGCACACAGCTATTCCTACAGATTCTTTTTGGCTGTACTTTGGGCCCAACTAAGAAGGCTCACAGAAAGGCAGGAGCACATGATAAAGAATAACTAGTTGGTGTTGGTGCATGCTTTAATCCCAGCACTCAAGAGACAGAGGCAGGAGGATCTCAGTGAGTTTGAGGCTAGGCTGGTCTCCATAGTGAATCCAGGCCAGCTGTGTCTACAGAGAGACCCTGTCTCAAAAAGACCAAAAAAAAAAAAAAAAAAAATGCTTTTCAGCTATAAATGTCAACATGAATAAAAGCTATTATTTTATTCTAATCACTAGTATAATACTATGAAGTACTAACTATAAATGCAGTAGGGTATGTTAAACATCTTAGAGATATTCCAAAGAGAAAAGTAGCATTCAGTCAGAGGAGCTGAGTATGGGCTCTCTAGTATGATGCAGGCACTTGGAGAGGGCAGAGTGGGTGCCAGAGGAGGCATCACCTTAAGAGGCAGCCTGTAGGAAAGCCTGGGGCCCTGGAGAATGGTTAGTATCGGTCAGGTTTTAGGGGGCATGTAAGCAACTGGAACTCTACATGGAACATATTGAGTACCTGATAGGTTTTTTTTTGGGGGGGGGTGTCCAAACTCTCCTTGAACTCCCTGTGTATTTGAGGCTGGCTTAGAACTCCCGATC